GTGAGCACCGAAGACTTCAACCATCTATCTAACTTTTCACCCAGATCACGTAAGCGCCATGAGGGGAAGACGCTCCCAGTTTTCATCAATGCCCCTCCTAAAATGGGGTTAGAATAAATGTTCAATACGTATATTAATAAATGCTCAATACATATATTAATAAATGCTCAATACATATCTGCTGAATGAATTAAAACTTACAAAAATGAGTCTTTGAAAACACTGAGTTTTATATAAAATTATCAGTCTAGGGATCTCCGAGTTCTGCAGAAATGACAAATGTTACAGACGAACTAGAAACTGCTACCCACAGAACGTCTGAACGTATGCACCTTCGTGGCAGGGCTGCAGGGCTGTACGAATGTGCGGGCGACAGACAGCAGACACCCCACGCAAAGCGGAGGCACCCGCTCTGAATCCACACTGGTGGACGGGGTGGGGGAGGGGAGGCACCTTGAGAGAATCTCCTGACTTCACTTTTTCTGTTTCTCATCTATAAAATGGTGTGATAATCATTATCTCACAAGATTTACACTGAAAACTCTGTGAAACTGTGTTTAGAAATGTTTGCTCTACTACAGTTGTGGGAGATACAGCAGGCCTGGCACGCAGGAGGTTGAACAAATGTGAGTCGTTGCCTGAGAGTGTGATGCTCCACACAGGGGCCTCTCTCAATTCTTGGATAACATCCATTCAACTCCAACCTTTACATCAAATCTTTACGTCTGAAGATCTCTGTTTCTTTTTCCAGAGGTGAAACAGCGGGGTGATTTAAGGTCCTGGAGCCATCAGCCCGGTGTCCAGGCCTTGTCTTCAGATTCTGGGGTCTGGGTGGGCCATGCCTTCAGGCTTTTGTTGTAGCCCCTCAACACTGCACTTTTTCCAATGCTCTTCATTAAATACAACCCTATTCCACCTCTGGGGCACCTTCTGACCGACATCATTCCCTGTAGTGCCTGGCACCTGAGACCTCTCCATCCTGGTCCTCAGAGTGAGTTTCAAGCTCCTCTTTCTAGAACCTCCCTTGACCTCTCAGATGGCCCCAAACCCCTAACAAAAGCCTCCTGGACTCATCTCACTGCTCCGTACTGGGCATCGCTGGTGAATAGGCCTGAGTCCTCCAGGTATTGGTCCTGTGGCTGGTCTTCAGGTGGGGTGTGTGTGCGTGTGTGTGCATGTGTGTGCATGCGTGCGTGTGTGTGTGTGTATACCCATTCCGCACTGCCCACTCCCTCCACGTTTCTCCAGGGCTTGGCCTGCTCCACTCTTTCCCTACCTCTCAGTCTGGGGTACCCAGGACATGTTCCTGCAGACAACATGGGCCCTCTCGAGCCTAGGCTGCTGCTCATGCACCCTCTCAAAGGTGGGGCTCCGCGGCGCTGCTGTCCAGAGAGCTGCCACCAGTCTTCATCCACTGCAGCGAGGGCCTGGCTCCAGCAGTGTCCAGGGACCAACAGCCCCTGGCATCTAGCAAGTTCCCATGCTTGGCACCTCCCTGGCAATGGCCTCCCCGGCCCCCAAGGGAAGGCTTCCAGCAGGTTCCATCAGTGAAGCCCCTAAGTACCTTTTCTGCCATCCCCCAATTTGAGGCTGTAGCCGCTGCCATGGGTCAGGGGTTGGGAGGGCGCTATGAGTAGGAGAACACGTCTGTCTCAGAGCCAGGGGCAGTGGCTGTCCCTTCATCAGCTATTCCCCATATACATATATATTTGAGACAGAGATAGGGGCTCTGTCCCCCAGGCTGGAGTGCAGTGGCGTGATCACAGCTCACCACAACATCAAACTTCTGGTTCAAACCATCCTTCCCACTCAATCTCTTAAGTAGCTAGGACCAGAGCTGCACACCACAATATCTGGCTATTTTGTTTTTGTTTTTGTTTTTGAGATGGGGTTTCCCTGTGTTGCCCAGGCTGGTCTGGAATTCCTGGCCTCACACAATCCTCCTGTCTCAGCCTCCCAAAGTGCTGGGATTATGGGCGTGAGCCACTGTTCCTGACTCCTATATTCTTCAGAGTCCTCTTTACTTCTTATTTATTTATTTTTTAAAGATGACAGCTTTATTGAGATATAATTCACTTATCATTACTTCTTACAACTCAATCCTCAACTAAGAATTCTTCACATTAGACTTTCCCTGATTGAATCATGTGTGGTTTCTGTCTCCTGATTGGACCCTGCTGGATACACCAAGTTCCTGCATTAATGCCACTTCTAATTTAAGTGATTTGCAAAAGGGCTCCCACTTCCAACTGACCATTCATTAAACCGGTAAAATATTATATTGTATTTCACATAAGTCAGTACACAGATTATTACCAGTTCTTAACCTGTCCGAGACAAGCTAACTCAATATTATAAAAAAACTAATTGAAACACAGAGTACTTAAATGTTCTTGGCATTTGTGGTTTGTCAATTGCTGGGGTTTAAAAGTCAGAGACTTGCTTCCTTTATTTTCAGTGGGGTGGTTCATAGATTTCAGAATGTAATGCATAAATGGGAATTTGGATACCAAAAAAAATGTCTTTGGACCTTTAGGGAAAGAGGAAAAAAAAAAACGCCCAAAAACCAGAAAGTGGGGGAAAAAAGGTAATTGGGACCAGAATGTGCATGCAAGTAAAGTATTCTGGTGCTAATAATACAATTTTTAAAAAACCTTCAGAATTGTTTAGGCTGTTAATTTGGCCATTTTGACCAGATCACGGCTCAAAGCTACTTCCTCGGATTCCCGGGGCCCTGAGAAGGGTGACGTAGATGTGTCCGTCTGCAGCCATCCTCGAGTTTTAAACATCCAACTTGTAAGCAGCTCATTTCTATAAAGCACCACTGAGCTATGAAGTGCTGTGGTTATTGTTTGGGAAAAAAGCGGGCGGGGGAGGATTGTAGATATGACTGGGTTCAGAAGTTGAAGATCAGAAGACAGGAAATGGGCAAGTTCTTTTTTTTTTTTTTTTTTTTAAGATGGAGTCTCACTCTGTCACCCAGGCTGGAGTGCAGTGGTGTGATCTCAGCTCCCTCCGCCTCCCAGGTTCAAGCGATTCTCCTGCCTCAGCCTCCCGAGTAGCTGAGACTACAGGCATGCGCCACCACGCCCAGCTAATTTTTGTATTTTTTCACTAGAGATGGGGTTTCACCATGTTGGCCAGGATGGTCTTGAACTCCTGACCTCAAGTGATCCACTTGCCTCAGCCTCCCAAAGTGCTGGGATTACCGCCCAGTAGAGGAAGTCATTCTTGAGAGTTAATCAAGCAGCTCTGTCTGTGGCGTTCCCCTACCTGCCACGCCAAGCATGCATGCCCCACCCTCCAGTGCTTCAATTCTGCAGTATTTTCCACCTTGTGTGAGGTTTCACCAGTTAGATACTCATCTGCATTTGTTTAAGTGGCTCTCACCCTCTGTGCACATGGGCTGCCCCTTTCAGAGGTGATGTTTGAGCTGTCAGCCCTCTGCCTGCCCCTAAGTCTAGCTTGGACCTCGGGAACTGAGGGGGGTGCCGTCCCTGGCTGATGTCAGCATGAGTTCACATCCCTGCAGAGAAGCTGAGAGTGAGGCCAGCTCACGCCCATGACTTACTGAAGACAGCGGGGGTTGGGGGTGGGGGGTGCGGGGTGGGGGGTGGGGGCGGGGAGCACGAGGGCTGGGGCAAGGGGGTGGCAGTGGATGGGGCCCTCACTTATCACGAAACCCTGGAGCGCAGTCATGGAGAAGCCGGGCGCTGCCGGGCTGTGCCTCGAGGGTCCCTAACTCTTTCACCAACTCTCCTGATCTAAATGAGATCACTCCATTAACAACAAAAAAACACTATTTTAAATTTTTATGTCTGCGTTGCCTTATTCCAAAAAGATTTGAGGCAGTTCACAAAAATACACTTGGCATAAAAGAAGGTAAAAAGAAAAAAGTAGATGAGGAAGTCATGGCGGAAGTCAGCACGGGTGGAACACTCAGGCAGATGCTCGTGCGGCAGTGACACCTGCCGCAGGCGGGCTGGGCGGGCGAGGCGCGGAGTACCTGGTCTGCTGCAAGTGTGTCAGGCGTCTCCCCTTGTGACGGTGGCCGGGGGCATCTAGAGCGAAGGCAGGGATGCTAGAGCCCCCGACGATCCTGCCCAGCCGATTGCTCACCCCCCACTCCCTACAGTGCCCTCGCTGAGGTCCACAGAGGGCAGAGCCCACTGCCCCAGGGAAGCCCGATGGGCTGGTGCTGAGGCCGATGCGGGAGGGCACTGCCTGATAGAGGAGGAAAACCCCAGCGGCGTCCTCCCTGTGAACCAGAGGCCGGCTTCCCCACCCTTCAAGGCCAGAGCAGGGCTGGGAAAAGGGGGCTCGGGAGGAGAAGGCTCGGGCCAGGCCCATTTCCTTCTAGGGACTTCCTGATCTCTGAGGGCTCCTGCCCTGTCAGTTCACCTGGCATTAGCACCTCGCAGCCCGGGACAGACCTGGTGAGTACGGCCCTTTCTCCCCGGGGCAGCCCCACGGAGTCGGTGTGTGAGTGCAGCTGTCAGATCTGTTTCCCTCCAGCCTCTCACCCCTCACCTTGCTGCACGGTGGCCGGGGCACACCAGAGGCAGGATTCAGCTACAAAGACCTGGCGCTGAACCCAAACACCCTTGAGGAGAAAATGTTCCTGAGCATCCTGGTGGGGACAGGCCGTGACTCCTGCTGTGTTGCCATTTAGTGAACAGGTGAAACTGCGAGGTACGTGTTGACCATCAGCTGGTCATAAATGGTCCTTGTAACTTTACAGGAACAAATAACATTCTGAGAAACTTAGACATGCACAAGGGAAATCAGAGGCAGAAAAACTGAGTCCTGCTTCCCAGTCACAGGCAGGTCGTGGGCTCAGGTAGGTCAGGGGTCCTCTCGGACCCTCAGACTCATCTACTAGGGAAAACAACCTGGTCTGACAGAGAGGAAAATGCAGGTGCTCTGAGCCCCGGAAGGCTGTCATGGGGACGCTGTGTGGCTGTGATGCCTGCGAGGCCCTGGAAATGTGGGTCACTTACAAGCTCCGAGAAGCCGCGGACCACCTGCCGCCGCTTCAGGTTGGTCTCTCCGTCCAGGTTGGCGGTCTCGATGTGGCACAGCCCGTCGGGGTCACTGGAGGAGAGCAGCAGAATGTCCGCAGGGAAGATTTCGTTGCAGCGAAGACGCACAAAGTCTCCCACGTGGATTTCTTTCCAGAATCGGTTCACGTACTTTTTTTCTTCCCTGGAAAACAGACTTTGATTAATGAAACTCACGAGACATCGGTCATGGCTGGATCTGGGTGATGGGCACGTGGGGCTCATGTGGCAATTCTTTCTACTTTTGCATAGGCTGAAAATTTTCATAATAAACAGGTGTTTTAAAAAGAATATTTGGCCAGGTGTGGTGGCTCACGCCTGTAATTTGAGAGACCGCACTTTGAGAGACCGAGGTGGGCAGATCAGGAGATCAAGAGTTTGAGACCAGCCTGACCAACATTGCAAAACTCCATCTCTACTAAAAATACAAAAATTAGCTGGGTGTGGTGGTGCATGCCTGTAATCCCAGCTACTCAGGAGGCTGAGGCAGGAGAATCACTTGAACCTGGGAGGCGGATGTTGCAGTGAGCTGAAATCATGCCACAGAACTCCAGCCTAGGCGACAGAGTGATATTCCGTCTCGGGGAAAAAAAAAAAAAAAAGAAAAAGAAAGAATATTCATACCACTGAAGCCTACTCAAAGTAAAAGAAGAGTATCCATAAAGGCCACATATTGTATGACTCCATTTACATGAAATACACAGAACAAGCAAATGCATAAAGACAGAAAGCAGATTTGCGGCTGCCAGGGGCTGGGGGACAAGGGAGTACGAGTCACAGCTTAATGGCAAGAGGCTTCTTTCTACGAAGATATGAATATTCTGGAATTAGTGACAGCTGCACACCACTGAATGCACTTGAATTTTTCACTCTTAATGATTAAAATGACCACTCCTAGTTCTACACTCAGAAGAGCCGAACGCAGTGACTCGACCAGGCATAGCAAGCCAGTGTTCACGGCAGCATCACTCAGAATTGCTAGGAGCCGGGATAATCCATGTATCCATGAACAGGTGAATGACAAACAAAATGGAGTATTATCCTTTATGAGTATTATCTCATAAAGAGAAATGCTATAATACTGAAGACACTACGCCAAGTAAAATGAGCCAGTCACCAAAGGACAACTCTTGTCGGTTCCGCTTAATACCAGGTGCCCGGAGTGGGCAAATTCAGAGACAGAAAGTGGATTAGGGGCCACCAGTGGATGAGAGAGGCACAACGGGGAGTTATCGTTTTATGGACACAGAGTTGCTGTTTGGGGTGATGGAAAAGTTTTGGAAATACATCGTAGTGATGATTGTACCACACTGTAAGTATCACTAATGTCACTGAATTGTACACTTAAAAATAGTTAAAACGGCATTTTATGTGCATTTTACAATTTAAAAAATGCAAAATGGTTAAAATGTTAAATATTATATTTTGCGTGTTTCATCATAATAAAAAAACATAATTAAAACACGTGAAGCCATGGGAAACGGGACTTAAACTGCAGCAGGTTACGAGACACTTGGCAGTTGGAAGGCCCCCTCACCTCCCAGGGACACATTCCAAGCCACCTGCTTAGAACAATGCCCAATACAGTCAGCCTGCAGAACCTATGAGTCACTATCAACAGATATTTAGATTAAAACATAATTTTCAGATTTCTTCTTTAATTTTTTTTCCTGGAATAACAGGCTAACTAATGCCACAAAGGTCATTTGTAAGAGTTCCTTGAAGGCAGTTTTTGGCCATCTTTAAATAAGTGGAGGGACACAAATTTATCTGAAAAAGGTATGTTACAACAGGAAATCTCATCAAGAAATCCTCCGGGTTGCTGGGTGCCATGGTTCATACCTGTAATCCCAGCACTTTGGGAAGCCAAGGTAGGAGGATTGCTTGAGGCTGGGAGTTTTAGACCAGCCTAGACAACATAGTGAGACCCCATCTCTGCAAAAGAAAAAAATTAAAAAATTAGCTGGGCATCGTGTCATAAGCCTGTAGTCCCAGCTACTTGAGAGGTTGAGGCAGGAGCCTTACTTAAGCCCAGGAGATCAAGGCTGCAGTGAGCCGTGATGACACCACTGTACTCCAGCCTGGGCGACAGAGTGAGGCCCTGTCTCAAAAACAAACAAACCAACCAACCTACCCTCTGGATGATACTGTAAAAGAGTAAAAAGCACTAAAATGCATTTCATGTTAACCATAACCATCTTACTAATCCTCCCACCCTACACCCCCTATAAAACTCTACTCTCGCCTGAATTCCAAAACAGCCAGAAGTTGGATCTGGAGGTGTACTGTGTTGGCCACATCTGTCAGCTGCCTGAGCATTGGATGAGAAGTGTGGGGAGTCTGCAGAGCTAGGAAGCCACGCACCAATTTTCTCATTTCTATTTTATTCCCCTGTGTGGATTTGAGGGACCCCCTGGCAAAGTTCAAGAGGCTCCCAGGAAGCCATCGGCTGCCCTAGAGGCTGAAGGGAGAAGAATCCCCTTTCATTTTAAATCTCTGTGTTCTTAAATCCTCTAATTCAAGATCCACCAAATCAGTTACGTACAAAGCAGAGCTCCGGGGCGCTACAGTGGGAACAAAGATACTAGACGATGCGGTTCTGTCCTCAAAAACAAACGCAAGCCAAGCTGTCGCCACCAGAGAGCGCCCTTTGGGGGCTGTGGAGTCAAGCCCCCTGAAAGTGGTCCCAAAGTTGTTCTTCCTGGGCTCACGCAAGCGTTCCTCAGAGCTGCTTCTCCCACTGCGGCAAGCTCGGTCACCTGCAGGCCATGTGGTCCCAGCATGGTCTGTCCAGGCAACCATGGGGTCCTCTGGCCATGCAGAGGCTCCTTCCTCAGGCCCCAGCCCGAGGTCTGAGAGGAGGCATGGCAGTGACCCCCAACCACGGGCCACCCAGCTTGCGACGGCCAATCTGACCTCTTTCGAGCACAGACAGGAAGCTTTGATGACTGAGACACTGACATGTCTAGCCATGTGCCTACTCGCTTTTCCAAAGGTCAAGCCTTGACTTCATGTCATTACAAGTTTTTTCGTCCTTCCTTCTCACAAGCACCTGCTGGGCTCCTACAGAGGACACGAAGCCATCTGAAAGGGCCTGTCCCTTGGGAAGAACGTTACCCAACGCCCAGTCACAGTTCGCTCACAGCGGAAGGCAGCCTGTGCGGAGCATCGGCGGGGCCGGCTTTGTGGCGATGGGGTCCCCAGGAGGCCGGGTTGTCCTGGGCCTCACCCTGGGCGGAGGAGGAGACACCGCAAGGCACTGTCTCTGTTCAGTTTATGTTAACTACATTCCATGTATAACCCTCATCCAAAATAAAGTCGGTTTCCATCTGCTTTGTAATCATAAAACAATAGCTTGCCTGCCCCATCCAGGAGGCTTTTAAAACAGAAACTTCAGGGGAGGCATCTAGGCTCTGAAGGGGATTCCCCCCAAGGACCCTCCACACATGGAGAGACCGGGGTGCCACGTGGAGACCTCAGGTCACTGTCCTGGTTTGCGGGGCCGGGGGAGGGGGTTCCTCATGGGCTGCAGAAAGGACGCTGGATTCTAAGAAAAGGTCCTGTCCAGGCGCGGTGGCTCACGCCTGTAATCCCAGCACTTTGGGAGGCCAAGGCAGGTGGATCACAAGGTCAGGAGTTCAAGACCAGACTGACCAACATGATGAAACCCCGTCTCACCAAAAATACAAAACTTAGACGCGTGTGGTGGTGCGTGCCTGTAATCCTAGCTATTCAGGAGGCTGAGGCAGGAGAATCGCTTGAACCTGGGAGGTGGAGGCTGCAGTGAGCCAAGATCGCGCCAGTGTACTCCAGCCCTGGGTGACAGAGCGAGACTCCATCTCAAAAAAAAGAAAAAAAAAGGCCCTGCAGTTCACAGGAATCCCTACCAGGGACAGACCCTGGAAGACTCAGATTCAGGAACCCCTTATGTAGGCACAGCGGGACAGGCCCCTCATTACTGCAGCAGACCAAAAAGGCAAGAGATGCCTCGGGGGTCCAAACCCTGCAACCACTCCAGCTGGAGCACCCGGCAAGGAGCCTGGGCCCGCATCGACCCTGCCATGTCATCACTGGCTGCATTTCCCTGATTTTTAATCTTCTTATGATACAGATATATATACAGGTATGTGTTTGTATATATAACTATATCATAGATATATATCTCATGATATAGGCAGATATAGGTATGTGTTTGTATTTACGTATGTGTAGCCCTCCTTTCCATGGGGGTATATCTTTTTTTTTCCCAGCCTTTCCTAATGTTCCCTGAACTGTGTCTCCCCAGAGACTATTTGGAGAGAGAGGCTCTAAAGAGGATTCCAGTTAGAATGAGGCATAAGGCTAGGCCCAAATGCAAAGTGGCTGGTGTCCTTATAAGAGAAAGAGGCAGCAGAGGCGTGCACACACAGCTGTGAGGACAGGGGGAACACGGTGAGGGGAGCGGCCTCAGGAGGACCCATCCTGCCCACACCTCGGTGTCTGACTTCCGGGTTCCAGAACTGCGAGGTGATACATTCCTGCTGTTGAAGTCACCCCATCTGTGGTCCATTGCTACAGCAGCCCGAACTGACGAATACCCTTAATAACGTCCATTCTCGTGACTCTGGCTGGAAGGAGCAGCTCACAGCCTGTAGTGACAGAAACTGAGGGGCAGGCAGAAGCAATGGGTGGCAGGAGGGGCATCTCACCCTGCAATTTATCCCCACGTGCAGGTTCTACACACCCCCAAGACAGAAATCAACCCCACTGGCACAACACTCTAACACCAGCCGCTCAGCACGCCCTTCTTGGGGCTTTTATCGGCACAGACCTCTAGAGACAGGAAGAACAGCTGGCCGGGGAAGTCTGCCTGTGCTACTGAAGAGGACATCAGGGAGCGGGTGTCCGGGTCTCCGGCCCCAGTGGCTGGAAGGGGGGCACCACCCACCTTGCCCAGGGGCAGGGTCTGCTTGGAGAAGGGACAGAGTCCAACGGTGACCAACTTTGAGTTCAAGAAGCTGGTGGGGCTGTGCGAGGCGGGCTCTCAGGAGGTGTCTCCAGCTTTGAAGACAGGCACACGGAGACAGAAATATTTGGGGGTCTTAAGCACAGACGTGACAGCAGCCCCCACTGTGGATGCCATCACTGAGAGCACCAGGGAGAAGT